TGAACTGGTCAAATCAATACCCATTGATAGATAGATCAAGTGAGCAATGATTTAAGACTCGATCTGGTGATCGACCCATTTTGGTCATTGGATCTTTTTAAATTTATATTTTAAAAATATAAATTAAATAAATGAGTTTGAAAAATAAGGTGATTTTGACTATTGTTTTAAAAATCGAACTGAATTGGTTGATTGAACTGGTCAAATCAATACCCATTGATAGATAGATCAAGTGAGCAATGATTTAAGACTCGATCTGGTGATCGACCCATTTTGGTCATTGGATCTGGTTCAATCGCTTCAATCGGTTCAATTGATTGGTCCAACTGGTCAATTAAAAAAAATCACTTTTTTAGTATTTTTATTAGATTTTACTCTTATATATTACTTTTATTTTATTTTTAAGAAATAATCACCACAAAATTAACTTGAAAATCATCATCCAAGCAACTTAAAATAATAAATTTAATTGACTATAATAATTTTTAATATCTAAACTAATAAATGTTAAAATATATAATATAAGATAAGTTCACCTAAACATGATAATAAGGGAGAACTCAATTTTAAATTAAATTCACTACAAATAAGTCTTGAATATAACAGTAAACCTTAAATCAAATCTACAACAAAAACAAATGTCAAATAAATGAAACATTATTACTAATTCAATTGTTTTGGCCTAGATGGGAATGTCAAATAAATGAAATATCATTACTAATTCATTTGTTTTGGCCTAGATGAGGAGCTTCTTCATCAAAATAAATATTTAGCTCCCGGAAGTCATGCTCATTATCACTATCTTCAAGTCCATCGCCAATTGTTTCTAATTCAATTCCTTCACTGGAACCACCAACTTCCTCACCCACTTGCTCTTCCTTAATACCTTGAAATTGAAATTGTAGAATTATACAACAAAAACAAATGTAAAAAATAAGTCTTAATGGTCTATTCATTAAATGATATAATGATATAATGTATTAAAAATTAAATTAACTAATGACGAACCTTCTTTTTGATTGCTTTGACAAATTGGAATTGCTCCTTCATTGTCAATCATATTCTCCAATTCATCATAATCAATAATTGGAGAATCATCTTCTTTTAATATCCAACAGTCAACATTGTCTATGCTTTTATAATCAATATGATCAAAGCAAGTCTTCTTCTTGTTATCAATCCTATAATTCAAGATTCTTAGAGATTAGTAAAAGATTCAATTAATAAAACTTAAGTAGAAAAAAAACTATAATTTAAATAAACATAAAATAAAATACCTGTTTTTTGAACGCAAATTGTAATGTACATAGATAAGATCATTTAATCTTTGATGCTCCAATCTATTTCTTTTCTTAGTGTGTATCTTTTCAAAAACACTTCAATTTCTTTTACAATTCAAAGATGATGAAGTTTGGCTGAAGAGTTTAATAGCCAAATTTTTAAGAGTGTGAGCACTATATGCAAAGTATTTTCACCACTCATCTATCAAGAAGACAAGAAATATATAAAATGTTAGAAAATTTATAATTAAAAATAGTTTTCATAAAAAAGTATTAAAATTATAAATTAAAACTTAGAATCTTACCGGGTTTCATATCATTTAAAGATTCAAGAGCACTTGAATGAGCAAAGCTCTCCAATCTCTTCTCATACAACTCACATTCATTCCAAAATTTTGTCTTTCCAGAAAGAATTTTTGCATCCACAACATCCATAAACCCTTTCATCACTTCTTGCTTGGTACAAAAATGATCTTTATCATAAAAGAAAAAAGGATTCAAGTAATAGGCAACAGCTTGAATACTTTGACAAAGTTGCCTATTCCACCTTTCCTTGATAATTTTTGTATAAGACTTATATAAAGACTTCCTATTCATCAATACAATCTTAATTGCCTTTCTAGCCCTATACATGCCATCATAAACATAGCCAAGAGAAGGCCTTTCATCACCATCAACAATTCTAAGGAAGCACATAAATGGTGCCACAACTTTCACAACAAGTTGACAATTACTCCAAAATTTGTTATCTAAAGCAATAGCAACAACATCTTCTGCCTTTGAATCTTTGTAGTATATAGACTCTTTAAATTCCAAACTAGTAACCAATGCTTGCAAATCATGCTTGTGGTCAAGAATGCTTTTCAATGCAATGAATGTAGTGGCAAAACGTGTTGGCCTCGGACGTATAATTTCAGTCCACCCTTCTCTTTTTCTTAACCAAGCTAAGAGAAAAGCATGATTATATATAAATTTAGTTACCAATGATGCACTAGTTGCCAATTTACTCACAACATCCAACTTGCCAATATCACTTAATATCAAATTCAAGCAATGCGCAGCACAAGGAGACCAAAAGATAGTTGGATACATGTCATTTAACATTTTTCTAGCTTTCTTATAATTAGTTGCATTATCAGTGACCAAATAGACAACATTACTAGCACTAACATAATCAACCAATTCTTTAAACAAATTGCAAAGCATGCTAGCATCTTTGACCACATCAAAAGCGTCAACAGATCTCACAAAGGTTATCCCTCTAGGAAAATAAACAAGAAAATTAATCAATTGCCTATTTTTTTTTATCCTGGCAACCATCAGCCATAATTATACAACCAGTTTCTTCCCAAACTTTTCTATAAGAATCAACCAACAACTAAACCTTCTTTTTTAAAACTTTCAAAAGACTAGTTCTCATGATATGATAAGTTGGTCCTTTATAACTAGGACCAATTGTAGTAATAGCATCAATTGTAATAATAGCATCAATCATACACTGAAAGTATGGGGAATTAATAGCATTTATAGGAATGCAACTATCAAAGAAGAATCTAGCAATAGTTGAATCAACTTGATGGATATCTTTTATATCTACCATTGCACTCCTAATTGATGGTTGGGATCCAAGAGTTGTCCTCGGAGCAAAATAATTATGCAACGCACTTGCTTTTCTTTTTTTACTATTTTCCATGGTAATTGCTATTCCTTTTCCTTTAGCTTGAGAAGGTGGAGCAGGAATCTCTTGTAAGTCAGCATCACCAAATGGGCTATCTTCCCATTGATTTTTAGCTTGCTTCTTGATTTTTTCAAATTCTTTCAAACTTTCTTGCATTCGGAAATGAACATCATGAGGCACCTTGTCACATTTTTTTACTTCTCCACCTTTTCCAGCAAGGTGTTGTTTCATTCTATTTATTCCTCCTCCTCTAATAAATTTTTGGCAATGCAAGCATTGTAATGTTTTTTTTGTGCCTTCAACTTCAACACAATGCTCCCATGCAATATCAACTTTTCCTCTACATGATTGTTGTGATTTTGTGGATGCAGCAGTTGAATTTTGTTCGGAAGATGACATTTTCCTATGAGTTACACAAATATAGAAAATTATTAAAAAAAACCTCTAACTCTAAGCGTCCAAGCATGATAAAAAAAATTTATTTGAATTAAAGATGCTACATTAAAATTTAAAATCAAGGCATAACAAATCAAGGCATAACAAGTTAGGTATAACAAATTAGGAAAAAAATAAAATTAAGCATGCAAGATTGATATTCATAGATAATTTTTCTAAATCATTCTTGAGGGATGAGTTTATATGGTTACATCACTTATGACGTGTGCGTATCCACACCAGCAAGGGCCCACAACGCTCATTTCCCACATCAGACGTGCAGTTCCTATTTTCTACTAATTGTTGCAATGGAGTCAGCATCGCTAGAAACGATACTCACGCACTTCGCTGGGGACTTGGCAAAATCGATATTCACTGCAACATATTTTAGCTTCCAACAATGGATAAAGAGCCTATTTTGCTGCGTGGCTCCCATCAAAGGACAACGAGCTGATCTGTATATCCCTTAGCGATGGACAACTGGCCAAGCATTTATTTCTACATATCTCTATTATTGGTTCCCATTAATGGACAACGAGCTGATCTTATTATATCTACACAGCTCCTAACGATGGACAAAAGGCCAGATTTGCTATCTCATTTTAGCCTCCAACAATGGACAAAAGGCTGCACATTTCTACATATCTCCATTTCATCGGCTCCCCGCAACGGACAAAAGGTCGGATTTCTATATATTTTATCTCATTGGCTCCCGAAGACGGACAAAGAGTCAGCGCAACTCGGTACGATTAGCGTGAGGCTGGTAACAGTTACAACCCTATGATCGAATGGGATAGCTACCCTCTAGCGATAAAAATCCATCAAGTAGCAGCTGGCAGTCCCTTGGTGGTCGCTTGTGCATGGTGGTGCAGTGCCCAGCAAGCAACAACAACCAAGACCACCCTTTGACGGCACGGGTATGACAAGAAGGATTAGCGTTTGTCAATGGTATCACACCTTGCAGAGGCCATGGATGCAGCCGGCGTCCTCCTTCCATGGAGACAACTCCACCTTCCTCTATACATATTCATTGCTATGGCAGAGTCTGGTTTAATGAGATTTACCCCTTCGTGGCTTGGTGGATTAGTGGGAGTGCTCTTTCGATTCCACATAGTTCACGCTCCAACCATGGACAAAGTTAGCCACTGTTGTCCTTCTGGCAATACATAATATGGCCGGAGATCATGCACATTGTCACTTTTCCACACAAAGGGATAAAATTATCGATCGCCGATAACACCGACTCATAACACATATTTTCTATGTTTTATGTGTCAGCAGGTATCGCCGGCCAACGAAACTTGGCTCGGGACAACGATATCGCATTACATGCCCATACCACTTGTTCCTCCTTCTGGTGCAACGCCAACCATGTACAACAACAATATACTGATGCCGACCATGGCCAACAAGCAAATGAAAGAAGCGAATATTCATCCACATAGTCCCCTTCAACACACGAGGGAGTTTTCTTCTTCACTGCATATGCCTACATATTTCTTATTCTTAAATATATACTCACTCGTGCCTTGCTGTTACTGTAGATAAACACAAGCCCATGAATCCAAGCTCATGGAGATTATTCAGGATAAACTATGGGAGTAGTGGCTTGGCAGCTATGGATGGATGAACATTGCCCGCCTGGCAAAGCAAGGCATCCGCACCAACGAAACTTGGGGCTGGCGATGCTGGGCGTTGGCAATGTTGCCCGACTTCGCCAGAAAGAGGCTGGTTGACAAAGACATGGAAATGAACTTGATTCCCAGAACAGTGCCATTTGATGCTAACCAAAAATTGGAAATCCCAGTAGAAACTAACTAGAGGTGCTGTCTTGGTCACCCACAGTAACTTGCAACCATGTTTAATGTAAGGGTGGCTACACAAGTTCCATGGCCTTGGAAACTGCTGTAAAAGATTACTATTTGCTTGTAGAATCTTCCAAAATCCTACGTAGAGCTTGGGGAACTTACCAAATCCTGTGTAGATGTTGTTTTTGCCGATTGCACTCAAGCACCTCCCTAAAGATGGGATTTCGTATGGCAGAGGACATTGCCAAAAATATACAATTTCTAGTTTCTCGCCAAAAGCAGCGAAGCTTCGATGAAACCGTTGGGCAATTCATGATGCCACTGTCATAGAGTTGTCAACAGTGCCTGGAACCACCAAAAATTTGATAACTCACCCCAACCTATCTACACACCTCTAAGCCATCAACTAGAAATTACAACAATACCACTGCACATATGTATAAATTGTCTGCCCTTCATTTTCAAAAAAGAAGAATAAGAAGAAGAACACAGAGAGAAACGCATGCAGCACAAAAAACAGATTTACACACCAAACTTTAGCCCTTCTTCCTCACACACCGAACTCCCTTCCTTGCTCCAAAAGAAATACCCCATCCTCAACCTACTACCCTGCACGTTGAAACCATTCAGAAATCATCATTTTCTCGTATTTCCTGTGTATTCAGCTCTGCAAAACATTTCCCAGCTTTACCGAACATTTCCCAGTACTACAAAACATTTTACAGCACTGTAGAATATCACTAACACCGCAAAACATTTCTAGATCTGCAAAATATTATGGCTGGGAAACAACAGACTATAGTTCCAACTTCCGGGTAATTCTTCTTGAGCGTCAAATGATCAAGGTCGCAAGGTTAACATAAAAAACGAAATCAAGTACTCTGTTCGTAAGCTCCCAAGCAGTCATCTTTCCTTCTCCTATCACCACTCTCAAGTTTATCCTTTTGTCTTTGAAAGAATCTCAAGAGTGAAGTTGCTGCACTTTTCATTTTCAATATGAGAATTGTTCGTTATAGAGTAAAGATATACATTAGAGATGAAAGAGGTCACATTTATTACCATTACTATCATGTTACAATGATTTATGTATGAATGTGATCCTCAAGTTGTAATCTTTGAATCACATTTATTTCCCATCTTTGCTGCCCCCCCCTCCGTAACAACATACAACTTCCACCCATCATGTTTTTGATAGTTGTGTAATCATCTTGAATTTGTGGAATTCAACCATTGCTACCCAACTCCACCTGCTTGGCTAGAAGATTTATATTTTCAAAAGCTTCGCTGGAGATTTCACTACAAGACATCATTGCCTAGCAGAGTGGGATGGCCCGTAGCATGTAGCCTTTCGCACGTGAGACTGGTGCGGCCAAAAGAACCCCCTTCATTTTCTTGGGTATCATCTTGTCCGCCTCCATGTCATCACCACTGCTGACTCATCGACCTACATCATCAACACCCCCCAACAATCATACACCAATACTAATTAATAAAGAATTAATTTCTATCAACAATTAATAGAACATATAAATTTGAGAATGAAATTCAAGGTAAAGTTAGAACTCTTACTCAAATCAAATATCCAAGAGGAGAGGAGTCACGGACTGCTTCTGTTCGGTAATGAAGGGGATGATTTGTTTTCTTTTCTGCTTGTGTTTGGTCTAGTGAGGGAAAGGAAGATGAGTAGCAGAGGTGTCAACAAAATTAGGGGAATCTGTTATGCTTTGTTGCTTCTGTTTGGTCCAATGAAGGAGAGGAAGATGAGTGGCAGAGGTGTAAGCTTTATCAAGATGCTGATGATGGAGGAGAGGTAATGAGCTGCCGACGAAGGTGTAGATAGATCAGGTTGATTTTTGCTTCTGTTTAGCGGAGAAGATGTGGCGATGATTGGTGAGAATCGTGAGATGCCAACGGAATTGGAGCAGGGAAATCAGGCTGCTTTGCTGCTTCTATTTGGCGAAAGAGATTAGCGGTGAGTTGGTGACTGGTGTGAGATACTGACAGAGTCACGGAGATGGAGTAGGGATCAGGGAAAGGGATGGCTGACGATGACTGCTTCTATTTTTGGTTTTCTACTTTAATTCTGTTTTTCTTGGTGTTTTTACAAAATAGTACGTTTTGATTAAGGTTTATAAATTTAATTTTCGTTTAAATTAAAAGTTTTTAATGAAATATCATTAAAAAGAGGGGATAAAATAGATAAATTACATTAAAAATGTAAGAAGAAGTTAATAAAAGGGATGATGGATTCTGCTCGGCGACGGAACGGCTGGGCATTTGGAGCGGGTTTGGCGGGTTTAACGGGATTGGATGGGCCAATATGCAAAATGGGCCAATGCATAAAATCGGCTCGTTTTTAAGCTCGGGTCCGTTGAACCGGTTCAACCGATCAGGTTGGGCTGGGTCTTAAAACCATGCAAGTGAGTACTTAAAATCGATAAAGGGGTTGAACCGTTTAAAACCGATAGAATCATTTAAACCAATGTAAATAGTTAAACCAAATGGTTTAAAATTTCAAGAAAGATTCCCTTATATTTGCCACATCCAAGTTTCGAACACGAAACTTCAAAAAGATTTTTAATTACTTTAACCTCTACATTGTCACCTTTCATATTGATAGGGATTGCATAAATTTTTATTTATTTTATTTTTAAAAAGAAAGAATAGAAGAAATTCAAACTTCCTCCCAAGAAATTCGAACTTCCTCTTACTAATATAAAGAGAAATATTATTGATTTTTGTATTGAAATTAATATAAAATTCATTTCATTTATATTTTGAAAATATGGATTAAGAGTGTAATAAATATATTTTTTATAATTAATTTAATAAAAAT